ACATCGGTACTGGCGGTCCGCACGGGCGCGGATCCCAGGCGGTTGTAAACTCCGACATTCGTCCGACTTTTCCTCCTGGGATGTTTTTTAAAAATTGCATTGGAAAGCTTATTAAATTTACAATGAAATGACACTATTTTTATTTGCATTGCATAAATAGAAAGCAAGATATCATGTTATAAACAAATATTATAAAAAATGTACCGTGCGAAGCAAAATTTTCAACCATCGACTCCACTAATTCACCGTTGAGTCAGTTGCGTGGTTGTGAAAGTCAGGGTCGAAAATAAACTTTACTAAGTAAAACCTTATTAGGATCCACTTTTAAAATTACTTTATAATATAGGGGAGACTAGGCTACATTGAACCAGCGTCAACAGTGAACCACTTCAATTTTCTGAGAAATGACTGAGTGACTCGATCTGCGCTTGAACTGAAAAATTCAAGCCAGTCAAGCCGTCAGAAAATGGAAAAAAATAAAAGTCGGAATTTTTAATTTTAAAACATACTACCGTATAGAGCATAAAAATGCCCAACTTTTTTGTCTTTGAAATTTTTTTGTAGGGCTTTTATTTTTAATAATAATGGACAAAAACTGAATTTTTTTTATTCTTCAATTTCATTGAATTTCAAAACATAAATCGACTTTTCTCAAACAAATCTTAATGAAATTAATTAAAAATTGATATACTTACTTATCAGGGTCTACCAAAGACAATGAAATGATTGAAAACATTAAAAAATTTTTATTGCAAAATTATTTGTTAATATAAATACAGACCTGTCGGTATAAATACGTTTTCTCAACTTTGACGAGAAAAAGTGTGCGGTGAACTTTCGAGTTGACACAACTTCCAGTGAGACATTTGTTTATTAACATGTGAAGAAGTTTTTTGGAAATTTTTATTTAAATCGGATGAAAAATAAAGAAGATACATAATGTTTAAAAAAATATGCGTCGTGCGGCGTTTTGACATTTTGACGCAAGAGGAGAAAACTATTGGAAACTATTGCTATTTTCTGTTGATTTATTTAAAAATAAGTTTATTCATGTATTATATTATATTATATTATATTATATTATATTCAACCAGTAAATACCCCCTCGATATCGACCTTCCAATAAATGAAAACTGATATATTCACACTTATGAGATCGAGTCTTTTAAAGATGAAAATTTCACAACATTTTTATATTTAATATTTTTTAAATGTTTTAATTGGAATACATATTTAGCATTTAGAATTATGAATATTTATAATAATATCTACCGTTCACACAAAGTTTCAACCGATTATTTTTTAAGCTGTGTGTGCAATTAAAAAAAGTATAAATTTATAATCATTCACGTTTGAAGGTGTAGACATAATTATTGTTTCATTATCTTTATTTTTAAAGGCACACGGTTAAGTAAGGTCTCAATTTATTCATTTTTTCCTCATTCAAAAAATATTAGAATTGAGGGCATGGATCGGATAACTGCCTGTAGCGCATGGCCGAAAGGGACTGTACCAGTCAGACAACAGTGAGCGTCTCTAGGCCTCTCACTGATGTCTGACTGGTATAGTCCCTTTCGGCCATGCGCTACAGGCAGTTATCCGATCCACGCCCTCAATTGCATTACCGCTGAAAGCACAAAATGAAGAAAACCTTGGACTTCCTGTTACTGAAAAATGGGAGTAACATTGCTTGAATTGCTGCCATTTAGTTTTAATAAAGAAGCACATATTCCTTTCGATATGCAATAGATTTTAGAATATTAGAAGAATTATTTACAACTTTTCTTGAACGATTTTAATTTACGCTGAAAAAGTTATACACGTTTAAGTCGAAGGGAAGCCCAAAGTAACAAATCAAATTTGATTTTTTAAGTACACATGACTTTTTATTTTATATGAAGATTATAAAAATTATGGTTTTATTTGATTATTCTGTTATATATGTTATCCAAGAGACATTGACATTAAAAAAAATTATATAATGTTAAAAAAAATTGTTTAAATGAGGACCCAAGTGCGAAATGCCAAGACTGCAAAAACGGCCCATCATTGGTCTAGTAATGTCTGCCGAGAATTGGCAGTAGTTACTGGGCCATTACTGGTGTTCAAAACGTCCCATTGATGGGCCAATGATGGCGCCGATGGTCAGATTTTCAAATTTTTTAAGACTGGGCCAGCTCTCGGCCCAATAATGGCACATTCATGGCAAAGTTGATCAATCTTTAATGGCAAAAAGCAATTGCCAGTGATGTGCCGACCATCGGCCCATTAATGGCACTTTAATGGCAAACATTTTGTATCTTTGATGACAAATTGTAATTGCCAGAATTGGGGCGTAGCTTGGCTCAATAATGGCACAGTATCGGCCAGTGTAGTGTAGCTTATAAGAACCCTTTTGCATTATCGACTTCACGTCAGAGTAGCAGAGTGGTCAGAGTGTTAGGCTGTGGTGCGTCAGGTTCAGGTATCGATCCCCGCGAGCGGTAAGAATTTTTCAAATATTTGTAAGTTTGCGATTAATTTAGGGAAAGAAACTGTATAAATATTATGAATTAATTAGTTAATTAAATAAAAAACATATTTTTTTTATTTTTTCAACACTAGGGAGTAATGGCAGCCAATATTGGGCCATTAATGTTTACCGAGAATCGGCCGATAATTGGCTGCCGACGGCCTACCGCGGTTAACCTCCCGACAGTCGGGCCACTATTGTCTGCCAAGAGTAGGCACTGACTATGCCGTCACTGGGCCAGTTTTGGGCCGTTTTTAATTTCGCACTTGGGGAGTAACATAAAATCACACGGTTCCGTGGATTCGCCCATATTTGTCAATATGTCTAGTTAGTGCTGTTTGTTTGTCTTGTGGTTTTAAGTATTAGTCTCTTTTGTGTTCATAAAGACGGTTTTTTAGAAATCTTTTCGTTTGTCCAACATAATTGCCTGGACAATTGTTACAAGGAAATAAACTATATTTAAATTTTGTTCCTTTGTTAGTTTGTCTTTATTGCTTGTGAATATTTGTGAAAGATTGTTAGTTGATTTAAACGAAGTGTTAATATTTTCTTTTTTCAAGATTTTTGCTAATTTTTCTGACATATTTTTTATATAGGGTAAATATATAAATATTTTTGAATCAATGGGTACCCATTGATTCAAAAATATTCAATATTGATTGATATTGATTGATATTGATATTCAATATTGATTCAAAAAATATCAAATTCAGAATCAACAACTTGTTGATTCTGAATTTGATTTGAATTTTTTTCCCGGTTGTTAATCTTTTTTTGATATTTGTTTCTATAAATTGAATGGGGAATCCATTATTTATAAGAAGTTTTTTGATTTTAATCACATTGTCATTATGAAACTGATTGTCTGAAAGTTTAATAGCTCTATCTACTAAATTGTTTAAAACATTTATTTTATATGTTTTCGCTTGATTAGATTCAAAATGTAAATACCTTCCTGAAAAAATGTCTTTTTGGAACCAATTCGTTATAATCTTTTTATTGCCTTTTATTAAAGTAACATCTAAGAAATTAATTTGACAATTATTTTCTAATTCATATGTAAATTGAATATTTTTGAATTTACTATTGAAAAGATTATAGAAATTTTCTACTTGATCATTTGGTATTGCAGTTAATATGTCATCGACATATCTAAAAAAGAAAGGAAGACAGTGAGGGAATTCTTTGAGGCAAGTTTGTTCTATTAAATCTAATACTATGTTAGTTGTTGCAAGTATTGGTGACAGCGGGGAGCCCATGGGTAGACCATGTTTTTTTTTTTTTTTAAATATTAATTAATATTAATAAATATTAATATTTATGTTTAAAATATTTTACAGTGATTATATTTTATTTTAAATTTAAAAAAATTTTGTAATGTCACTAACTTGCTGATCAGACTGTTGCGGTTCCTAAAGTACATATATGTTAAAAAGTAGTTCCGCATGATGAAATTTTCATGAAACTTTTAAAATAGTTTTTTACCTTGAAAAGAATGTTTGTATAATAATACAATGAAATAGAATTGAGTAATAAGAATAATAATTTAATATTAATTTATAATTGATAACAAGAGCGATGAAATCGCATATAAAAAGTCAATGAATTTTAAAAATATCAATAGTATTCACAGTTCAACCTTTTCCACTTGATCATCTACTGCAAACTGTAAGTACAACAGTCTTTGTATGTTATTGTACATACAATAAACTAAGACTTTGCACCTTAAATTAACACCAAAAAGAGATTAAATTTATCCACTTTTGGATTAATTTTTTCCATGAAAAAATGTGTCTAAATCAAAACCAAATCATTTTTAAAACATTTTTGAAAAAATAATCCTTCGATGAATGATTTTAATTCTTGGTGGATTATTTTAATCCTTGATAGATTAAAACATTGAAGATTATTTGAATCCATTTTGGTGTTAAAGTAATACATCACAATTTTCTGTGGCACTTAATTAAATCTTCACGTACATTTTTAAAAAGAATTTATATTAAAACAAGTATTATAATGATTTACAGAAATTGAAAACCAAAAATGGCCACTTTGAAAGTATTATTTTTGCTTTTGGCGACTATTTTAATGTTCCTGGCTCCTGCTATTAATGCCTGTTCACTAAATGGAACTCCATGCCAACCCGATGGAAGAACACCTTGTTGTTCAGGATTTTGTTACAAACAAGTAGGATGGAGAAGAGGATATTGTTCTAGAAGATAAAAAAATCAATCTTTATACTTTAATGTGACTCTGTTAAAATTTATTAAATATGTTTTGATTTCTAAATAAAATGCATTTTACTTTCTTAAAAAATGTGATAATATATTTCCATCCGAATTTTTTTTACAAACAATTATAAGATACCCCTCTAAGAATATTGCTGTGATCCTAAATAATAATCATACACATTTCACATTTAAATTCGTTTCACTTTTGCCGAGAAACTCACACTAAATGATCGTTTTACATCAAATAAAAAAGTGAATTGTCTGCTTAATATGTTTATTCAATATTGCAAAGGTAATAATAATAAATTATAAATGTATAATAATTTTTAATAAGTATAAAATTGGAGATTAAATTTTAGATTGATTTCAATTGCAAACTATTTAACATGACAGAATAAAATTTTAAAAATAGAGAATACAAGTTTTTAAGTATTGGAATGATTTTAATGAATGATAGAAAAATTGAATTTTCCATTGACATTAAAATTTTTACAAGTAAAAACTAAAGTATCAGTTCTTTAAGTTCATTTTAACAAAGACCATTTAAGTTGTTCTTTTGCAGATTGCAGGACCTGAAAAAGAAAAAAAGTTTATTTAAATTTTCATTTCAATAAAAGTGATTTGAAGAAAATGTTTTAATTTTTATTTTTATTACTAAACTCAACAAAAAAGTAAAGAATTTTCTTAATAAGTACTATTAAATACTATTATACTATTAAATACTAAATATAATTTTTTTTTTAGAAATTTCATATGGTTATAATTATAACAAACATTATTTACTTTCAAATTCATCAAAAAAAATCTAAAATACCTAATAACTGACTTAACAGTGCAATGAACAAATTAATTTAAAATGAAACGTCATTAATTAAATGTTTAGAATGTTGTTGAAAATTGTTGAAAATTAGTGATGTTGAAATTTTTCGTTTAATCTCAATTTGAAAATATCAGCATTATTTGTATTATTTGATTATTAATTAATAAATACTGTTGTAGCTGCTCTTAATTATTTTACATTCATTTTGTATTTTGAAGCACTTTTTTCAATCTGTATATTTTCTAAACGAATAATAAAAATTATTTTCAAATAATTATTACGTTACAAATATTTGAAAGAAAATAATTTGAATTTCTCATAAAAAAAATTCTTTGAATTTTAGGAATAATGTGCTAAAAATTAAAATTCTTTTTATCAACTTCAAGAAAAACTTACTGTTTCCTGCAGTATGAAAATTCGTTACGTTACAATAGGGTAGATGTACCAGTTGTGGCCACTTTAAGCTGTTAGTCGTCTTTTAGTAAGAAAATAGATTTATTAAAGTACTGAATTTTATTATAATTTTTTTATATCATATTTATTGGAGTCAATTATATTGATTTTCAAACTTAATAAAGTTTTTTAGCTATATTTGCTATTAAAAAATAAACAAATTGCTTCAAAAAACCTGTTTCACCAGTAGTGGCCACACCAGCACCACTTGTGGCCACCACTGTCCCAGTTGTGGCCACTGCTTAAAAAAGTGTTATCAGGATATTGAGGAATTATATTTTTTTAATAAATAATTAGAATTAGTAAATCTAACTTGTACAGTAATTAAGTACATTTATAAAAGAAATTAATTAAATTCCATAAATCTTTAATTTATTTAAAATCACAGTTTACTTTTTTAACATGCACTGGATTTTTTTTAAATCTTCCTTCTTCCATTTATTAACATTTTTGCCTTTAAGAAAAAAAAAGTTTTGTTATTTTACCCACACTTTTAATATAATAATTATAGCATAATTCAAATTAAAAAACTAATTAATTAACTATTACAGAGGATAAATAATTAGAAAATACAACAGCAAGAAATGTATTACTTAAACGTAAAATTATTATTTTTATTCAGTTATTAATTCAATGGAAGTAAAATAAATACTGTCATACTTCAAATTATTTTTCGAAATGAATTCATTTATTAAGATAATTATAATATGAAAACTACTATTAATCAAACTAAAATCATGACAATTTTGCCGATAAAATATATAGTGTGGCCAAAAACGGTGCTTTTATATTTTTGCTGTACCGTTTTTGGACACGGGCTTTTTTACAAATATTTGAGGTTATTATTTTAAAAGCATTGTTTTTATATAAATATTTATCCCCTAGAAATATTGTATAAAAAGAAAAATATGAAAATATTGATATTAATGTCGAAAAACAATCATTTACTTCCCAGTGATATTTCAACTCATCTACTAAAAATTGTACTTATTCGCCACTGTCAAAATATTTGTACAGTTATGTGTGTTTTTAAATTAAATCAGCTGAATTTCTGTCAAAAACAAGTGAACACAGTGTTGCCTACTTATTTTAGAATTTTATGAAAGTATTTATAATTCACTAGTAACTATAAAAACTTCAATAATGCCAAAATAAATCTGAAAGTGGCCACAACCGGTGCAGTGGCCACAAACGGTACATCTACCCTATAGAACATGTTGAGTTAGTTTTTCTAAAAGTTTTAAATTTCTTATGTACGAAAATTTCAATTTTTAGTATATTTTCCCTAAATCGTAAAATACTTTTAATGAAATAAAACTATTTTCCGTTACTTTAGACATAGTTAAAAATATTATTATTATTAATAAAATACTATTTACCTGTGCGACAGTTTGTTCGCCTAATGGAATATCGTCTGTCCTTAAAGCCACTCTTTGTACAATGTTTGTGGGATCCGCATCCAAAATAATTCTTTAATAAAAATGTTACTTTATGTTAAAAATTTATTTTCCTAACTTAAAAACTAAAAAAAATTGCAATACTATATTGTTAAAGTTAATAATTATAAATTATTTTGCTCAGTTTTAATTGTATTTAGTTTTAAAATATTATATTCTCAAGATATATATGAACTGCATGTCTTGTCAAAGTTTTTTGGTTATTAGTCCTAGGAACTTAAAATATTTAAAAATAAAAAATATTAAGAAATAAAGACTATTGATAAAAGAAGTATAAATTTTAACTTACCCTCCATCACAAATTTCGTCAACAGCCAACATTATTGTATCTAAATTTTCCATAACAATACGTTTTTCTACATTTTTCCTCAAAAGATGATTCACCGTATCATATAAACAATTTAAGACACTCATCAAAATTAGCTGTGAAATAAAATTTTTATTTTTAAAAAGTAAAATTGAAATTCTTTTAACTATTAGCGGAAATATACAACTGTTCGTTCAAAGGAATAATGAAATATTAACTTACTTTTAATATAATAATAAGGCTAACAGTTTGATTTAAAGATATGATATAGAGTTAAACGTTATTAATTATTAAAAATTTATTTGTATAGAGTTGAACAGTGCACAATTAACGCGTATTTAATTAAACTGTGTAGAGTTAAAATTAAACTTTTTCAAAATTCGTATGTATAGAGTTGAACTGTATAGAATTAACAGTGTACAGTTGCACTTGGTTGCACTGTATACAATTAAAATGTGTAGAGTTGATACCGCGCCATTAATTTGTAAAATATCAATAAAATTATTCTATAATCTTATTTTTAAGATGTTGGTAAAAAACTGTTATTTCCAGAAAAGTTAATTAATTTCGTTCAATTTAAACGTTTAGAATAATTTTTTCATAATCCTCATCGAGAAGATATTGAGGAAAATGAAAATATTTTGATAAACAATAAATGACAGACCTCATTTTCGTTGGCACTTCCCATTACGTAGAAAAACAAGTCAACATTACTTTTATACACACATATTAGACCTTCGTGAATAATAATTTCAGAATTTGCTCTGTGTGTTTTATTGAATAATGATTTTTCAAAGGCCTTTTGATCCTTGGAGGATGTAAATTTACTCGCATCGTAATATTTTGCGAGTATTCTGTTGCCATCGTTATCGAGAATGGCAATACCTTTCACGGTGTAAAGAGTTGGTTCCTGTTAAATAAAAATAGAATATAATTCAAGTTTAAAACAATTTCTACAATTTAAACAAATTATTTATGTATAGAAAAATAAAAAAATAATAAATAGTACATTTGAAACAATTCATTTTGTTTAAAAATACATTAATGCAAAGCGAGTACCAATTAAGAGAAATCATAACAATGCGAACGATATTTAAATTAAAAATGATTGTAACGAAACAAAAGAAGAAAATAAATGTGAAAATTTGTATATACAGTGAAAAAAATAGTGAAAAACCGTACGTGTAACTCGGAATGTGTTTCAGTATCGGATCGAAATGATCCTGAGAGGTTAGGTTGCAAATGTTTAGATAAAGTGTTGCGATTCATAGCTTAAACGTGTGTAAACTGTTCTATACGATAGTTTAATGAGGAAGACGTACCCAAATGATGACCTTTTATACTACCTAATGAAAAAAACATCCAGAACTGTTTGAAATACCCACCAATAACTGGCCGTCCATGATCCTGTGACGTGTCTTCTGCTCTTCTTGAATTGTTTTCAATTGAAATTCTTTTATTTTTCTTAATTAACTTCTTTGACAGCCTGCTGTCTTGACATACTATTTTAAAAAATTAACACTTTTTTCGTAAGTTTATTTAATTTTACAATATAATTTCTTTATATTAATGAGTAAATTTTGTCGACGTAAACAAGTGTGGTGACAGAAACTTGCTCTGAGTTTGATATATCGCTTCTCGATTAATCGAATACTTCGATTGTCAGGTCAGGTTAGAAACGTTCATTTGATTTTTCAGACGACACACTACAAAGTATTTCCCATTTTTCCCATATATAGGTATTTCCTTTTTAAGTTATTAGTTAGTACTTCGTATAAATTTCTTCGCAATCATTCAATTATTTTCATAAATAATAAAATTTTTACAGGGATTGAATTATTTACAAATTGTTTATACATATTTCTTTGCAAATAATTCAATTATTTTAATAAATAATAAAATTGTATACAGGGATTCAATTATTATCATAAATAATAAAATTCTTTTTAGGAATTCAATTATTTTCATGAATAGTAAAAACTCATCGCAGAATTTCAATATTATTTTTAAATTTTAATACAATTTTAATCCAATTTCTCAAAAAGTGTAATTATTCTTAAAAAATTTATTAAAATTCATCAAAAGAATTCAATTATTTAAAAATTTATTGATTCTTTATGAAAATTCAATTTTAAGAAACATGCAATTATTCAATAAGTAAATGGTTTTTTTATATTTAAAATAATTGAATTCTAGAAGAATTTTCTAATAAAAATTCATTTAAAAGTGGATTTCAGTTAAAAGTTTAGATTATAATTGAAAATTAAAAGCATTAGAGTTTGAATTTTTAGAAATAATTGAATTTTGAAAAGGTTTCAAATAAAAATCTTTGAAAATCTGAATTTTAAAAATTTTTAATTACCCAGTAAAAAAAAAAAGTATTCAGAATAGAGAAAAAGTATTGGTGGAGACGTTCGGTGAATGCGTTTTCGCGACAAAACCGTATTGGTGGGTTACGGTGAATACATTTTGCTTACCGTGAATACTTTTTTTTTTAAACTTTCGATTTAAAGATTCCTAAGCAAAGTTGAGAATATTTATAAAGAGCGTAAGTGACCTGAAGTATAAAAATGACTATTGCGAGAAGGAAATAAGAAATTTTGAGAAAAAACGAAAAATTAAATGTGACAAACAGATTGTCAAATGTTGATCAATTACCATATGCTTTTCTGTGCCTACAACGTATGATGATTAAAAGGAACTTTGACGTTACCGGCGGAACTTACTGTTTCACATACATTTACTTGGATTTCTCAAGTTTCTGTCGGTATCGTCAATGTTCCTTTTCATCATCATACGTTGTAGGTTTGTCACATTTAATTTTTCGTTTTTTCTCAAAATTTCTTATTTCCTTCTCGCAATCGTCATTTTTATACTTCAGGTCACTTACGCTCTTTATAAATATTCTCAACTTTGCTTATGAATCTTTAAATCGAGAGTTTAAAAAAAATGTATTCACGGTAAGCAAAATGTATTCACCGTAACCCACCAATACGGTTTTGTCGCGAAAACGCATTCACCGAACGTCTCCACCAATACTTTTTCTCTATTCTGAATACTTTTTTTTTTACTGGGTAACAATTCTGTGGAATTAATTTTTTTGAGAAAGTTTAATTGCGGATTTTTTTTGAAATTATATGAAGTTTTCATTTTCTAATAATATATATTTAATTGAAGAATTTACGAATAATTAAAATTTCGTAAAATTGAGTATATTGTAAACAAATGGATTTGAAAATTGTCAAAGCACTTTTTCGAAAATTATTAAAAATAATCGATTTAAAGAAGAGTTTTAGTTAAAAATTCTTGAAAATAATAATTAGATTGGTAATTATTTTATCACTTGGTCATCTTTAATTATAAAACATGAAGAAACGAACAGTCCGAGACGAAGACTCGGAGTTATCGCTATCTTATTCATGTTTTATAATTATGAAAAATTTAATTTGTAGTTTTAAGTAAAATGTTCTTTTATTTGACTCGGACTCGTTATATTTTTGTCAGTAATTGGTTCGTAAATGGTCCGTCATTTTTCATTTTTTATTACTTGAAAACAAATAATCGATTCAATTTGAAAAACAAATAAATGTATTAAATATATATTATTATATTTAATGAGAAAAAGAATTTCTTATTTTGAAGTAAGATTTAATTCGGTTTATTTAGTTGATAAAATTGGTAAACTTAATTGCAGAAAATGTTTAAATGATACATGTTTAATTTAAAGGAAACTTCATTCTGAAAAGATTTGAATTCTACATTTAATGTTTTTAATTTTTGAAAATTGTCAATTGTCATTGACCTTTTTAATTTTCTATAGAACCGAAAATTGATTCAAATTTTAGTTTATTTTTTTAAAGACGAAATTAAATGTGACAGTTTTTTGTTACCGTCTTAAAGACAAAATTCATATAAATGTTTTAAATTCGGATTTTATATGATTAAACAAAAACAAAATTGAATTTAAATTTTGTTCTGTTTTGGTGATGGTCCCTGATTATATTTTAGATTCCTATATGTATCTGATGAGGCGTTCCGCAAACGGGCGAAAGCTCATTAAATAAACTAATATTATTTATATATTATGGATTTCATAAAAACAAACTAATATCTTCACCAAATTAAATTAAGTTTCATTTTGCAGTTTGCAATATGTTTTTATAATTCACTTAATTTGACAAATTATTTTTATTTTTCTCGGCTGAACTTCAAAGTGAACTGTTATTTTTTTATTATTTTATGTTTTATTTATTGTTTCTATACAAATGAAGGATTAGTTATTTATGACTCTACTCCAGTGTTATGGTGTAATACACTTTTTTGTCTTCGTTTATTTGACTTAGTAATTTCTGACTCGCTGAAGAGGAAATCATTTAGATTTTGAAACGTTGGAGTAAATATATATAGTTTAATCATTGTCCGAATATTTTTGTTTTATTTACCTTATTTTATTAAAAATCTCAGACGTTAAAGATTAATTAACTAAATTAAAATGTTTAATATATAAATTAGTAGTCGTAAATTACCGTGTTCTTTAAAATTACAACAAATTGATACCAAAAATGTGGATCAAATCGTTCAAACTTTTGGTATTAATTTTATACAAATGGGGAAAAGAAAATAATTATTGACATAATTTAAGGATTCAAAATATTTATGAACTCATTTTATAAATATAAATGTAACATAATTTACAATAATATTTAACTTCAATGAGACGTGATACTTAAATAAAATTATAAAACATTGTTTCAATGATAAAAAGTTATTGTGAAATTATGTCACAATTATTTAACATAACCATTTGATAATTATATATGCAAAATTCAAATGGCAAATAATTCCACAGTTGGAATATATATCCCTTATAATTATATTACAAACAAATAATAAAAAATATTGCAATAAATGCTATAAGGTTCTTTTAAGTTTAGTTTGTGACGACGTGATGTTCATTTTATATAAATAAAATGTTTGTCTGCTATAATATCTCGTTTTTTACAAATCTCATCATTAAAATTCATCACTGTCAATGCTTGTCAGAAATATAGTTGTTAAGAATAATAATAATAATTCTATTCTTATTGTTGTTATAATAGACAAACAAATATAAAACGGAAGATATATATGATAATTGTTATTTTCTAACACGAAAATAGTAAATTTTAATTTTTTTCTTTTGTGTGTTTAGTGATAATTCAAGTCATTGATCTCTTCGCATAATTATAGTTAATTAATATTTCACTGGATTAAAACTTAAAGAGAATTATTGAGATCAACTCGGGGTCTTTTACAACGATTGTTTGTTCCATCTTCTTGTAGATCTGCATTAACTGATAAGAGTTCTCGTTTCCTCCCTGCGTTCTAAAATAATATCAAATTTCATCATTTCTCGAATAGAAATTAATAAGATTAATTGAGAAGCAGGTTATCAAAACTTGATAAATCTGTATTTTTTATTTCGAGAATTTGAAACAAATGACTTTTCTCACATAGCCACTAGAGTTAATTATAAATTAAAAAAATTTGTAATAATTTATTTTTAGCGCCATTCTTCTAAGGATATCAAATTGAGACAAAAAATGAATCAAAACGTTGTTTTGCAACACTTTTGATTCTTTTTTGTCTCAATTTGATATTCTTAGAAAAACTAAATTTAGTTTTTAAATTTAATAGAGTAAATGTACCAATTGTCGAGGGTGTATCCATTTTTCGAGTCAATAAATTCTGTTTTTGACTTAAACATTGAATTACAATTTAAATGCAAAAAATAATTAGTATTATGCTTATTAAGTGTTATAAATGTTAAAGATAATATATTAATATTATATCCACAAATAAATTAAACATTTTTGGTTATTACCATGGTAACATCGACAAATGAAACAGCCTCGACAATTGGTACACTTACCCTACGTTCAAAAAAAATTTAGTTTTTAAATTTAATACGTTCTGTTTTTAATTTAACATTATCATAATTAAGTGATTTAAAGATTTTCGTCTAATATAAAAAACCTTGGTTATGTAAAAAAGTTTTTAAATTGAAAATTCGTTAGTAAATTTTTTACTTAAATTTAACAGTAAGGTTAAATATTCGTAAGGTCTATAAGATATAAAATTTATGTTTATCTTCATTTTTTTGAAAAATGGATTTATGAGCTTTTGTGAACTTGCTCCTCAATTACTATTCAGGTCTCGGATCGACTTTGAGATGCTAAAAAGTCACTTTAATCAACCAAAGATAAAAAAAGTCGAAAAAGTCGTTCATTTATTTTAATATTTGACTATAGTAATTTTTGGACAATAAAAATGGAAATAAATTGTTTTTTTTTATGAAAATATTTGAAAGAAAAGTTAAAAATAAGTTGAAAAATGTCGCCATTTTTTTGAAAAATCGAGAAAAGTCCAAAATTCTTTCCGTGACCTTATTATTGTTAATTTTCATTTTGTTTTTCTAATTAAACGTTAAGTTTAGATAAAATACCTTTTTATCCCATTGTTGGTGCAAGTACCTCAGGAGAATGGTAGTTTTTTCGGTAACAATAACTAAAAATAAAGGACTTTGTTAATTATTATTAATATTTAATAAAAAAGTGAATATCCTAATTAATAGTCTAAATAATAAACTTATATAATATATTTTAATATATTTAATTAATAAACAATTTACTGGATTTTTGCAAACAAACAAAAATAGATGTTCTAAAAAGTGGTTTTACATCTATTTTTTCTTAAATTAAAAACTTGGATGAGAATTAAACAATCGCTTACCTTGTTCGGAAGGGTAATCCTTGGTTGGCAAATAAACAGAGGGTCTTTTGACACATGTTCGATTATTACTGTCAGTGTGAAAATTTGCAAAATTGTTTTCGTCGTGCGAAGGCAGTCCCTTTAAAAACTCAGCTACAGACTGAAAAATTTTTATTTCCATAAAAGAAACTATATTTTTCTAAAATTATTGTTACACTTTATAAGTGTAGCAAAATATTGACCAAAAAACACAACTCAGAAATAAAATAGATTCAATAGTTACTTTACTAAAATGTTTACAAACAAAGTTATAAAAGGGAGAATTAAAGGCGTAATTTAGAAAAAAGATATTTAACCAAGAGTAGAAAATTACAGAAAGAAAATAATAAAATTATAAAAAAAGTGTTATAAACCATTCACAGCTTCTTTCCATATTTTTCAATTTTGACATTTACAGTATTTTTCTTGACAAATACACTCATGACAAATGATTTAATGAGACAAAAATTGAAATTTATGAAATAAGTAGTTAATTTCAATTTTAGGGAAATTAAAGTTCCGTTCAAGGGGAAGATGAAAATTTAATGTAAATGTCAAAAGAAGTGTCAAAATTGGAAAACATAACTTACCATGATGTTGAAATGATGTAAAGCAACTTATAACCAGATTCAACTAGCATGGCGTATTTTCGACTAAATTTCTACATTCCTCGTTATGCGCATGAGTTTAGTCTGCTATAGTGAAACTATGATTGGTCCATTTTTTTACTTATTTTACCAATAATAAATGCAGTCAGTGCGACATCTAGTGTCATATTTTGGAATTTTTTAGTCAATCTTGAAAAGTTCAGTCGGTATTACAGTTTATTTTATTGGATATGTAGATTTCTTTTTTTATCGAATACTGATATAGTCATTTTTCTACTTTTAAATTCAAATTTAATAGTTTATTTTGGCTTAAAGCTAAGTTAAGTCGATTTTAAGTCTTAAAATCATATTCTCAAGGATAAAATTCAGTCAAATATGGTTTTGATTTTAAAAATGGTTTTAGCCTAAAGCGTTCTTACAGTAAAATAATTTGTTTACAGTATTTTCGAAATTGGAAACTCTGTAATTAAGTATATACAATGCAAAAGGACACAGTTTTCTTGAAAGTTTCAAATTAATACCCAATGGGATCAAAATGATACCAAAAGTTAAGATTATAAATTATGATTCGATCCACTTTTTGGTATCAATTCGTTGCAAATTGATACTTTTAAGTTAACAGTAAGTAGTTCGAAGTAAGACCCACTTTCGACTCTAAAAACTAGAGGAAATTTTCCAATCTTCCGTTTGAAGAAGTAAAGCAAGGTCTATGTCACGGTTTTTCTAAGGATATCAAATTGAAACAAAAAAAGTATTAAAACGTTGCTCCGCAACAATTATTTTAGGAAAACTGGGTTTCGAACATGGTATATCATACTTTAGAAACATCGAATAACCTACTTTCATAACCCTAACCCTACAACTTGAAAGTTGAAACAAAATTTGAAGTTTTTGTACTTATAGTGCACCAATTAATTAATAATTAATCCAAAATTGTTTTCCAGAATGTAGGATTTAGGGTATAAAAGTAGGGTATACGAGGTTTATAAAAAGTATAGAGTAAGTATAGAGTAAAAATTCCTGAAGTGGCCTTTCCTATTTTCGCAAAGTTGCGAAAATTTTATTGTTACTTACAGATTTTTGAACCCTTTTAATAAAATAATTTTAACTAATTGAGTTTTTGCATAAATTGAACAAAAATTTATCGTTATATCAGTGAGTAAATGTACCTACTTTATTCTAGAAATAAAATAAAAATTTAAAAAAATTATTTTTTAAATTTTTTAATAATTTTTTTATAAACAAATGCAATTTTAAGTACTTTCTACACGCGATTAAAAATTTTTTTTTTGCTAAATGTTTTTTAGAATGTATAGGTAAGCAAGAACTGAAAAGAAATCTTAGTGCAAATGAAAGGTTTTTTATAATTTGACTTTTTGTCGAGCGCTGCATGGAGACTAACAAATGGATATAGTAAATGAAATAGAAAAAAATTGTTTATAACATTTAAAAATTAAATAATAGGCATTTACAGTAGGTATGCATTAGATTTTCATATTTTAGTACCTAACGATTGGAATCTAGAAATATCGCAAACCTATGAAAATAAACAAAATTGCTGACGAGGAGAATCGAACCTACACTGAAAAAAATTATTAGTAGATTTGACTACTTTTTAACTACTTTCCTTAGTTCAATAAGTCCCCAAAGATAATTTTGAACTTACATTAATTATCAGATATGTAGTTGAATGAAGTGATAATACAGTTGCATTAACTACTTTTCTTAGGTCGGGAGTTGAACGCTCGACCCTAACATTCGTAAACCGATAACCTAACCACCTAACCACGCTCGCCCGCTACGATGAGTTTCTTAATACTTAAAGGCATTCCTGACACAGTTCAACTGATAACTGTAGTTAATTTTACTACTTAAAGTAGTTGCATTTACAACTTTTCACAGTTGATAATCTTCTATAAAAATCTATAACATAAATTACATGGAAAATAATTCAACTCCTAGAAGAAGTAAAAACTACTACAAAATTAGTCTATCGAACTACTTTAAGTAGTAGAATCTACTACTTTCTATAGTCATTTCTATAACATACCTGCAGTTACAAAGTTAACTGTAAAATTCCATTAATTTAATTAATAATTTTTAACTACATAAAACAGTTAAAATAAGTATCAAAAGTAGCCAGACCAACTAAAAAAGTAGTTCGTTTTATTACTTTTTACTCTACTAAGGGGATGTAGTTGAAAATGTCTCATGTATTTTTTTCAGTGTACGACCTACGGACTAACAGACTAACGCTCTAACCACTATGCTAACGACACATGTAAAGTAAAGTATTAACATCTCAGTATCATTCAGACATACAATTATTGAGTCAAAGATGAGAAAAAATAGGGATACGTTAGAAATAATAAATTGAAATAAAATAAATGTAACTGAATTTTTAATAATTAAATTAAATTACTTTATTTATTGCATTTAACATTTTACGTAATTCTTAAATTACGTGGTAATTTTTTAATAATTTTATATTCATAGTAAGAAGTATAATAGTATTTTAATTGGAACCAAATTATTATTGAGATTAAAGTTTAAATTTTGTTTAGAATTTTAATTTGTTTAAATAATTTATAATTTACAAAATTAGACAATTATGTTAAATTATTATTATTAAATTTAATACAAATAAAAAATAAACAACTGAAAAGTAAAATATTATTTTTTTTCAATTTTATATTTATAAACATTCATAAACTTTTTTTATAATATTTTTCAAGTTTATGTCAAGAAAGCAATGTTGGCAAAGAGCGTCGTGAACAATTTTTCTATACTCAGCCAGCACTTGCCGCCGTGGCTTGTCCAAGCTTTGGCGAAACAAAAATTCTGTACTGCGCCATCACTATTATTGTCGAGGTTCGGCTAGACTACGCCGAACAATCGTCTGAGTACTAAGCCAGTGGTGAACATCGGCACTATACACTGGCATTTCCCATTGGGTATAGCCAAAAAGATAAAAAAAAAGTTTTTTTCACCCCACTCTAATCTATAAATTTGAATATATCACAGTTTTCCTCGAAGTATCAAATTAATACCAAAAATTTGGATCAAATTATGATTTAATACTACACATTTTAGATAGCAATAATACGTTGCAATGTGATATTTGGGTTAACAGTATTTTACATTTTTATCGTTAAAATACACTAACACAGTTTTTCTAAGGATATCAAGTTGAGATAAAAAACGTAGTTATCAAAATTGTTGCAATGCAAAATTTTAGTGCTATCAATTTGAGAATCTTAAAAAAATTGTGCAGGGTAAAATTATATTTGAATCGAATACTCTTTTTCTTGCATGAGAAAATATTTTGGGGTAAAAGTTTCTTTTTTTTACCAAATTCATTTTTTTTTTGCTTCACTGAAAGAAAAATTTATTTGTTTTAAATAAATAAAAACTGTCTTAATATGAAATAGGTATTTAAATTTATCAAGTAATTTTTATTAAAGTCAGTTAAATGGTATTTGCTTCAAATAATTTAGTATTTAAAAAATACCATTTAATTATTAGGTATTATTTAATTATAGGCATTAGTTCAAAATAAAATTTATTTGATTTCAATAATTATTTGATTCAAGTAATATTTATTTCTGATAATAGGCAAATAATCAATTTCTTTTGAATCACATAATTTTTTTTCAATTTTTAATTTTTCCCTTATTTATTATTTTCTGCATTTAATATATTTAAATATTTCTCATTATGTTTCAATTGAATTGATTTTTATCTGGGAAAAAATCTATCACATCCAAGATTTGAAACTTTGAATTTCGAAATACGAATCGAGAATATTTTAAGCATTGGGTCAAAGTCCTGAATAACACAATAAAATTATTTTATTCACCACAGAAAAATACATTACATCTTTTTGTTATAGACAAGTAATCGTTTATTTGAAACAAATAAATTTTCTTCTTCGGTGTGTTAATAATTGTATAATAAACAAAAGACAAAGTTAAAAATAAGTGAGACAAATTGGAAGGAATAGATTACACACAGCAAGTTATCATAAATTATGATGGATCAAATACTCGTTTTACACCTCCACAACTTGATTCTCTTTTTTTTTAACTATATTATAAACCGCTCTCCACTCACATTAGTAACACGTATGTCTTATAAATGTTTAATGTCTCCAGGTCAATACACATAGGTAACTGTAACACTAACGTGGCTTGTTTCTTTTACCCTCGTGTACTTCACTTTGGACACGTGGTAAAAGCTCCTAACTGTCTTCCATATTTTTTTTTTGCTTTCCCAAGAATCTCTCATTTCGAAAACGAAAAGGAGGAGCTTAAGTTTCATGTATTATCATTCTATATAAGAACGAACTATACACTCTCTAAAACGGTAAAAATTTATTGATTTACCAAGTTACACACTTCTTACAATTGTAGTGATATATTTATTACCGATTCAGATTAAGAGAGCATTTCTCAATAAATAATTGCATTGTGAATATCGAAAAGGGCTTAACTCTGAAAACCGTAAGAGTAATTTTCCCTATCACTTTGTTATGCTAAAATGACTCTTACGGTTTTTAGAGTTGAGCTCTTTTCGATATTCACGATTCACGATTTAGTGTAAATTTATATTCAGTTGATAATTGATAATAATTGCCCAGTAAACAATTATTTGAACGAAAGAATTTTTTTTCATTATTTTTCTAAAGACCATATAAAAATATTTTCACCATGTATATTTATCAAGTAAATAAATAAAATATATTTTTATTTTCAAAAATTGAAATTTGAGAAAAATGTTTGAATTATAAAATTCTATGATCACATTATAAATTAACGAAATATAATTATAAAGTTTTGAAAAAAATGTTTTTCTTTTTTATTTATTTACTTATTTTTAAAATTATTTATTTCTTAAATTATATAGTTTTTAAAATACTCGTAAATAATTTTTTATCAGACAGATTTTTTTTGCAAGTAGACAAGCTATGAAATAATGTTTTCCTTTTTTGATTCGAAGAAATTGATATTGAATGAAATATATATTATGAAGAAATTATATAGGAAATATCGTAGTCCCCCTTTTGATATATATGAGAACGAAAAAGAAAATATCGATAAAAGCTGTAAATGATTTATTAATACAAAT